ATTCTGTTTCTGGAAACCAATTCCACATAAGAGTTTTCTTGATAAAAAGAAATTCTACAGTATTTTTCTTTGACAGACCTCAGTGTAATGGCTAGAAGGTTCATATGTGTTGTTGCAAATGGCATGGTGTCCTTTCATAGCTAAAAATATTTTATCATACATGGATGTACCTTGTGTGTGTAGATACTTAACAATTAGTTTGTTCCAGTGTCATAACTACTGTAAATAATGCTGCAATGGATAAGAGCTACTGCTCTCTCTTCAAAATGTGATTTTGTTTCCTTTGGCTAGAGAGTCTGAAATCGAGTTGTGGAAGCTATTTTTAATTTTTTGAGGAACTGCTAGGCTTTATTCCTCAGAGGTTTTACCAATTTGCATTTCATCTAACAGCTCAAAACTTTTTTGTCTTTTTTAGTTTTTGAGCAGCACCCAGTGGTGCTCAGGTGTTATTCCTGGCTCTCCACTCAGCAATTATTCCTGTTGGTGCTCAGGGGACCATGACCATATGGGATGACAGGAATCATACCTGGGTTAGTTGTGTGCGAGGAAAGCACCCTACTTGTGGTACTATCTTTCCAGCCTTCAAGCTATTTTATTTTCTTCACATTCTCACCAATATTTTGGATCTCTTTTCTTTTTGGCAAGTTATTATAATCTGTGAAGTAATCTTCTATTGTGATTTTTATTTGCATTTCCCTTTTGAGTATCTGTTTGAGCAACTTTTCTTGCAACTGATGATTACTTGAATATTTTATTGGTGGGGAAATGTCTATTCAGTTATTTTTGCCAATGCTTACTCGTGTGTGTATGAAAGAGAGAGTCTGTACGTGCGGTGTGTGTGTGTGTGTGTTTACTACTGAAATGCTTGAGTTCTTAATGTAAAGTTTATAGCAACCCCTTAAAAGATATAAAATAAATATGCAAATAAATTTTCCCTTTCTGTAGTTGTCTTTTCATTTTGTTGATGGTTTTCTTTGCTCCATAAAAATTTTGCAGTTAACTGTGGTCCCACCAATTTTTGCATTTATTGTCTTTACTTTGGTCTGTTTCAGCTATCTTTATCGAAAGCAATGGCAAAAACTTCATATCTATTTTCTTCTAGGAATTTTAAAATTTAAGTTATTATATTCAAGTCCTTAATCAATTTGCTTTGGCTTTTTATATCACACTCAACAATGCTCAGGAGTTTCTCCTGGCTCTGCACTCAGGATGCATGCTACACTGCCTTAACTGCCGTACTATTGTTCTGGCCCCCAATCAATTAGCTTGAATTCTGCATATGGAACATGATAGGTGTTCATTTTTATTCTTTTTCCCACATCAAAAATAAAACATTCCCCAACAATTTTTGAAGAGCCATTCTTTCCCCCATTTTATGTTCCTTTTTATTAATTATTTTATTAACAGCACAGTGATTTATAAGGTTTTCATTATACAGTTGTTTCAAGCATTTAGTGTTCCAACACCAATAGTGTGACCACCTTCCACCAATATCTGCAGTTTCCCTCCATATCCCAACCTGCCCACTTTGACAATAACTAATTTACTTTATATTATTTATTCCAATAAAACTTTAAAATCTGAGAAATATGATGATCAGCAAATAAATCAGTGAAGGCCAATTAGTGATTACTTTATGATTTTGACCTATGTATTAAATAAGAAAATTAGAATCATTCAACATAATATAAAAATGCCTATTCTCATTTACATATTTACATTTTCAACTCTGGAATCTATAGTATATTACATTAAATTTTATCTTATACTTGGATCTAGTTATAGTAATAATCATCTCACCTGACATTAATAACACTTTTAAAGCAATTCAGTGTTAATATGTTTTGGATTATACATGGAATAGGTAAGGCAATAGGTAAGGTAATAGAAAAATGTAAGCTTCCCCTTACACCTTATATAATAAATACTGTGGTTTGCAAAGTTTTTCATGATGATTTGTTATAGGCTTCAATATTCCAACACCAATCCCACCACAATTACACCTTCCCTCCACCATTGTCTCCAATTTTCCCAACCACTCTTAAGCCTGCCCCCATAGCAGGCCGTCAATAATTTTTTTTATTGATTGTTATCAATAATTTGCTAACATAATTATTAAAAAATTGCTTCCTTAGAAAAAACTTAATGAAAATTGTATCTCAATATGGAGCCATTAAGTCCTTGTATAAGAGATTACTAAGATGTTACTACAGGTTAAGCCTTTTGTGTTTACATTTTGTTAATCAAGATTGGCTGCTTTCTCTGTTACATCCCATCCAATCTGGTGTGCTGCTACTAGTTTATCAGTTTTGTAGAGTTTAAGATGTCATTCCAGGAAATTTGAAGTTTTTAACGAGGTAGTATAACTGAAGATAAATTTTTGGTGGGGTGACATCTTTGGGGCATGTGCATGACAGCCAGGGTTCCAAAAGTATGGGGACATGGTGGAAGGTAGCCCATCCTGACTCTGTGAGAGCCTGGAGATTTCAGTCACAAAATCCGCATAGCTGAAATTTTCAGCAGATTAATTTCCGAATGAGGTTCATCTCACAGTAGTGGAGTCCAGCAGGAGGTCATGGTGATGAGTATGGATTGTGGGAGTTTTGGGCTGCCAGGGCTCTGTTTGGGCAGGCACTGGGCTGACCTACCCCACTCCAGAATGCCCTTGATGACTCAGCCTTGCCTGAGTGTCCAGAAGAGTCTTCTGCAGGTTGTTGCTCTCTTTCGAGATTTATTTATGAGTCTCTGGATCTTGGTCTGTAAATGAGTTTACATGGAGCCAGTGATGGTTCGTGGGTATGACTGCCTGGGTTTCCAGAAATATAGGGAGATGAGGGGAGATAGCCCATCCTGACTCTGTGAAAGCCTTGAGATTTTAGTCACAAAACCCGCATGCCTGAATTTTTCAGCAGATTAATTTCTAGATGAGTCTCGTCCTGAGGCAGTGGAGTTTGCTGCCAGCATGGTGGTGATTGTGGAGTGTGGAAGTTTTGAACTTCTGGGTCTCCCATTTTATGTTCTTGATACCTATGTGGGTGAATAGTTTGATGATTCATGTGTTTGTCATCAATTCTTTTATATTTATCTGCATGTGTGTTTTTATGCCAATTAGATATTTTTTAGTACTATAGCTTTGTAGTATAATGCAAAATCAGGAAACATCATGCCTTCAATGTAGATCTTCTTTTTCAAAATTATCTTGATCATTCAATTCTTTTGTAGTTCCATAAAATTTTAGATTTTTTTCTATTTTTGCTGCTATTTGCTCTTTCAGGGACAGACCTTAACCTGGTTTTCATTTTCCAAAATGTATGGTCAGATCTCTAACTTCCTGACGAGGTACATGATAGAGGCAGATATCACCATCATCATCTTTGTGCCTAAGAGGAGGCTTAGGGAAAGTGTGAGGAATAGAAAAGATGGCCTTGAATCTAGAAATCAAGGGACAGGAGGAGATATTAGAACAGCTACACAGAAGTCCATTCCCAGGAGCCCCTACTTGCTCCACCTGAAAATCTGTAAGTCCATCACTTTGAAACTTTTGCACCCAGGTTAGGTTCCCCAGGTTAGGACAGGGGAATCAGTATAAAATGGATCCCCATTCTCCCATAATATCTTCTCAGAAAGGAGGATTGTCTGCCTTGAATGAAGTGCTAAGAGAATGTGCTCAGTGACACCTCAGTGGAGTCTGGTTAACTGACTTGGTCCTCAATCCCTTATGGGTCACATTACTATCATCAACATTATTATTATTATTATGATGATGATGATGATAATAGGAAACTGAGACTCAATATTCAGGAGTTCCCCATGGTCTGTGAGATTCCACCAAGATAAATTATCACTGTGCTTCGATAAAATGACTCCCAGATTTTCTCTTTTAGGCCAATACAAGTCCAACCTGTCAGGTCATCAGAAGCTTGCCCAGAGAACATGAATAGTGTGAATTTGGGCTTCAATGAGAGAGATATCTAAAGTAAAAAAAATGAGTTCATGTTTTAAAATATCCTCCCTAAATATTCAAGGACAGATGGTTTCACAGAAAATTCTACTAAGTATTTATAGATGAATCTCAATCATTTTGGGAGCACAAAACCTTGTTGCATTTTGGAAATTTTAATATATATTGCATTTTATGAGCATTGGGAAATAGGTGTTATTTTTACTAAAGGCATAATTGTGCTGGTTTTGATCTTAATAGGATGGCATAATCATGGATTCAATTTTTAGCTGGATGTACATACAAGGCTATGGTCCTGTGGACACTATCAAGCAACTTCTGTGTGCATCTTCTTTTAAGAAAATTGTTCAGTTCCCCTGGCCAGCAGATGGTAACACCAGAGGGTATGCTGGAATGGTGCTGGGTCTTAGACTGAAATTTTCTGAAAACCTGATCTGACTAAAACCTGATTTCTATGACTAAAGTCTCCTAAAAATCTGATGGTGTTACATGAGAGAAGATGTATTTGTTCTCACAAAAAAATGCTGCAAGTCTTTAAACAGTGCCCAACATATGGACAGTGCATCTAATTATCACTTATTAGATGTAGAAGCTTGTGGTTCCTAACTCAGGGACTTGAGTTAGGGACTGAGTGACTTTTCCTATGTGTTTGCACAGATAGAAGATGTGGGTGTCATCTGGGTGATCTTCCTAATTACAGATGGAAGGTCTGCTTGGAATTGAGTCTCAGCAGGGTTAGGGAACAGGAGGGGAGGTGAGCAGATAAAGATGGTGATGGGCATCACTGTGAGGAGAAGCTGGTGGGAGGTAGGACCCCAGGAAGTACGGCCTTTCCACTTTATTTCTTATGGTATGTATATGCCAAACAGCAAACAACAAATCTTTCTAGTGGTTCCTCTTGCAATAATAGGAGGCAGAGGAGTTAAACTATTTTACCTTACAGACTTCTAATTTACATCATAATAAGCACTAATTACAATACTGAACATTAAAAGGAAGTTAAATCTGAAGGTCTAGGTCAGTAGATTTGCACCCTTACCAGGCACAGACAACTCCAGGGTGTGTGATATGGTGAGTGCCGGCTGCCCATCGTGCTCCACCTGGCAGGTGAACACCACGTTCTCCTGGTGGGCAGAGGAGTTCACCAGGAGCCAGCTGGTTTGGTTAAAGGTCCCGTCCTTGTTCTCTAGGAGGAGGGAGGTCGTTTCTGTCAGGGACACGTTTCCGTTCTCCAGCCAGGTCAGCTGTAGGTTCCGGGGGTAGAACTTCTTTACCTGGCAGGTGAGGTTCACCTGGTTCTCTGCTTCAGGGAATTCATAAATCTCTAGGGTGGGTGGAACTGAAAAGCACAGGACAGAAGCTCTGATCTCAGCGAACAGACAGATCACAAGGGTGGAGCTCCAGCACGGAATTCCCACCCACTGCAGGGATTGATCCTAGCAGAGGGAGGCTTACGGAGCTAAGCAGTGAGGAGCTGAACACTGAGTGCTCTTTGCTCAAGAACGGAATCACTAGCACAATATATAGCACACAACAGGAGCGCACATTCCCCGGGGCCAGCAACAACCTGGCTGTGCTGGAGACGGAGTAGGAGGCATGGGTGATCCACGCTGGTCAGGGAGGCTGACTGCTGCATGCTCTTGTTTTTTGAACCACCGCAGGCCGATGTTTCTGGGGGCTTAACCACAGGGCCTGCAGTGAAGCTTGCTGTGTGCCCAAGCAGGGTCCCCCCGGAAGCACAGGGGAGGTTGCAGAGCAAGGCCCGTGAGTCTGACCATTGGGGTTCAGATATTGTCTCCTTTACTTGGTCAGACCTGGAGCCTTTGTTTCTATAAGGACCAAGGTCCTCGCGGTGCTGCCGGGAAAGCAAATGCCAGGAAACACTCAGCCTCTGGAGCACTGCTGCTCGCTGCCTCCCCCAGCCTCCCCTCCTCCAGGCTCTTGAAGAGGAAACCTCAGTTTCTTCTTGTCAGTGAGAGAGAAAGCCACAGTTTTCTCTTTCCAGATGTTCCATCTTTCTTTCCCCTATCACATTCCTCCCCCAAGGTTCTGTCTCTGCATTCCCAGGGTATCCCAGGAACAGAAAACTCTGCCCTGGAGCTTAGACTGACAGGGAAACTAAGATCATGGGCAATTATGCCTGGAGAGATTTAGACCAGCCAGATATCCTGTGATTTTTCTGGCTTCATTTGCAATTCTTTGTCAACCAGTAAGAGATGTAGGAGCCTTTAAAAGGACAGACACAAAACTCCCTTTTAACTTAGTTCTCTACTACGTTCTTCCCCACTTGAGGAATTCCTTTTCCCTTCTCTTCTACTTTCCAATAAACTTTTCTGCATTCCAATTCTGAGTCTGAGCATCTTTATTACTCAACATTTTCATTCTTGAAAATATTGAAGAACCTGGGAATCATGAACCAACATAGAGACCCATCGCTTCACCTGCATCACCTTCACCTGGGCACCAGGAGGGAGAAGAAAGAGGAAAGAGGATGGAGACACTCGGTGGGAGCAGCAAAGCAAGCAGCTGTGATGACCGAGATGAGGGGTGCACCTCTGGGACTCCAATGTCAGGGAAACCACCTTCCCTGCCTGTGTCTGAACTGGTGATGGTGGGTCTAGTGGGACTCTGTTTACACAGATGAAAGCTCCATCAGCACAGCCAGGCCAGGGCATCTCCCCGAGAGGAGAGGGCTGCGTAGACTTGGTTATCTTCCCAGCACCGTTTTATATCCCTGGGCTGGGAGCAACTCTGTTGTCAGCAGATTGTAAAACATTTGTCTCCATAGTGGCAAGTCTTGGTTGTGTCACGGTTGACACCTCATTGGAATTTGGGGTGAGGTGGCTGAAGGCTGGCAAAGTTTCTAACCCACTGTCGGCTATTAGGGAACTGGATGGGAGCACATGTTGCTCTGTGGGAAATTGATGGAAGGGGCCCCAGCTCATTGCCTTGGTGGCATCAGAGGTTTGGCATCAAGGAAGGATTTGGTGTGATCATCACAACACTCTTCCCATGAAAACTTTTTTGGTTTGTTTCGTTTGGGGCCCATACCAAGCAATGCTCAGGGCTTACTCCTGGCTCTGCACTCAGAAATTACTCCTGGCAGTGCTTGGGGGACTATATGGGATGCTAGGGTTCAAACCTGGGTTGGCCGAATACAAGGTAAATACCTTACTATTACTCAGCTCCCCCCACCTTCCCCTGGCTCCATGAATGTGTTTAACACCAGGAAACCACCTGGGACAGTGGGACAATTCTCTCACTCACAGGCATGGCATCAGGCCCTGTCTCCCCTCAGTCCCAGTTTTGCCCTGTTCTGGGGAGTTTAGCAGGAGGGTGTCCAAGTTCAGACTATGCTACCAGGACAGAATTCAGGACTCTGAGCTTCGGGGAGAAACCCCCAATTGACCCATTTTGCTTCTTAATGGGACAATCCCTCAGTCACCACATGGAAACTGTTCCCAGGGGAGAGACATTCTGAGATTTTATTCAGAGTATGATCTGCTCATTCAGAGCCTTTGAGGACAGTGAATCTGTTTCTGAAGCCCAGGAGGAATTTTCAGGACAGGAGGACACTGAACCCCCAAATCTGCCCCCCTCCACTTGGTGCCATCTGCTAAACAAGGAATATGTACTTCTCTCTGAACCTGTTTCTGATGATGAAATAACAAAATACACCTACTCCCCTCCTGGCCTTCCTGCAAGGCCAAACATGGAACATCAGCCAAGAAGAGCAATTGCCAATTGTGGCCGCTGTTTCCAGCACACCCAGTGAAGAGCCGGCCACACCTGGGAGCTCCACAGGTACTGAGGAAAGAGGAGATGCCCCCTACGGAGGGGAACCTTCTCAGGGCACAGAGGTGAGGCCCAAAGGGTGACTGGGCAAGTCACTCAGACCTTGGCTCCCTCATCCCTGCAGGATGAGGCTGACGGGATGGGACACACTGGGAATGGGACCCCTGGAGATTGGGGTAGCAGGTTCCAGACTTTGCCCCAGGAACCTGTCAGAGGGCCTTGAACAAACAGCAGGATCTCTGCAGCCTTCTTCCCTGATCTGCAGAAGGGCGCGAAACTGATGGTGGAACTGACAAGAGGACCAACACAGCGCCCCACCTGCCCTGAGTTGTTGCTCTCAGAGGAGGGCAACTGGCCTGACTGTCTGTGGTCACACAACAGGATGAAGGACTCTCTCCCTGCCACACCCTGCCCCCACTCACCTCTCACAGTGACCAGGGTGCCTTGTCCTAACTTTGGCTCAAAGATTAAAGGAGGCCGTACGTGGAACTTCATGCAAATGTAGGTGCCGGCATCTGCGAGTGTGATGTTATGGATGTGGATGGAGAAGTCTACGTTGCCTTTCTTTGTGACATCCGAAGCGTTTGTCACTCGGGGAAAGTGACCTCCTTGGAAGTTGTAGATTAATTTCCGGCCCTTCTCAGTATCCTTGTACCATGTGGCAGGCGGCCCCCTCTGGTTCGAAATCACATGGCAGTGCAGAGTGGCCGTCTCTCCCGCTGTGAAGGTCACGGACTTCTCTGGTTGGATCACCTGCAGTTCCCCATTCTGACTCGCCACTCCTGAGGGAAACACAAGCAGCTCTTCACTTGTCCTTGTCAGCCTGTGGCATTCCCCAGGTGTCTGTCAACAACCACCTTTAGCTGAGTGTTCAGCATGATGGATCCAGCACATGCCGTGAATCAATCAGAGTTTCCCCCACAGTGAACCTTCATTTCGTGAGTGTGATGCAAACAAGGAAACTGAGGAACAAGTAGGTTAAGGACATGGCAGAGACTGGTTTCTCTGGACCATCTGGCTTTGGCCAAGGCGTCTGTTCCTCCATTGTCTGGCCTTAGGAAGTGTTAGACTTTCTCTCCTTTGCATTGTGACTATTTTTATATTTTGTCTCACACCTTTTTGCATGTGACTATTCTTTTTGTGGGTGGGTGGCTACACCTAGTGGTGCTGAGAGATCACCCAGGGATCACTCCTGGCAAGCTCAGGAGATTATATGGGGTGCCGAGGATCAAACTCAGGTCCTCCACATGCAGGGCAAGCACCCTACCCACTGTATGGTCACTTTGTCGCTAGCCTCTCCCCTGTCCCTCAACCACCACTTCCTGAGACTATTCTGACCATCGAGTATGAGGAGAGGGATGGAGGTGCCTGGGGGTATCGTTGATTTGTCAGGACCCCAGTAAATTCATCTGCCTCTTCCCTAGATGTGGTCTGCCCCTCAGCTTGATTACTGAGTTAGAGTAGGTCCCTGTACTGATTTCTGGTCCCTGTATTTCATAATTGCTATTGCCTGATCAATGCATATTAGTATCATAATGTCACTGTGAACATTACCAAAAGGTTATTGCCTTAAAGCAATATAATATTTCATCAACAAATGAGTGGATAAACAAAATGTGGTGTGTAGAAAATAAAATATTATCCAACCCAAATTGTTAACAAAGTTCTGATCCAGCCTACAGAATAAATGAACCTTAAAATACTGTAATAATTGAAATAAATTGAATGCAGCTAGCCAGAGAGATAGTATGGCAGGTAGAACACTTGCCTGGCACATAGCCAACCTGGGTTCAATTCCCCAGAAACCCATATGGTTCTCCCAAGCCAATTAGGCATGATCCCTGAGTGCAGAGTCAGGAGTAAGCCTAAGCACCACTAATGTGGTCTCTAAACAACAACTGTATCAACAAGGGAAAAAAATGAGATTAAATGCAAAAGGAGAGATATTTATCACATATAGAAAGTACTTTCAATGAGCAAATCCATAGAGGAAAAAGTCACTTGTAGCTGGGGTAAGGTAAGCAAGAGTTACTAACTAATGGGGAGTTATTAGGGGCACATGATTAGGATGTTGGAAAGTTCTAGAAATGTGCTGATGATTGACCATTGTGATTGTACTGAATTGCTGCTTTTGTTTATTTAAAAAATAACTGGAATATGTTTTAATTAACCATGATTCACAGAGTTATGAAAGTTTTTCATTATTAAGTTCAAGTATACAATGTTGACTTTTATACTTTCAATAGGAAGGCTTTGTGTTATATATAATTAGCACAATAACAAGTGTGTACTAGGACAAGGTCATTAGTCTTTGAGTTGAGTTAAATGATTCAAGGGAAAATATATTATGTACAGTATCTGAGGTTGGCAGTTTTTTTAAAAAATGCATGCAATAGCATAGCAGTAGGGCATTTGCCTTGCATGCGGCCGACCTGTCCAAGCCAGGTTCAATTCCTCCGCCCCTCTTGGAGAGCCTGGCAAGCTACCAAGAATATCTCGCCCGCACGGCAAAACCTGGCAAGTTACCCATGACATATTCGATATGCCAAACACAGTAACAACAAGTCTCTCAATGGAGATGTTACTGGGCCTGCTCGAGCAAAAAGATGAACAGGAGGACAGTGCTACAGTGCTACAGTGCATATTTGAATGTGAAGACAGACCAGGAGGCAAGAGAATAAGAAATAGCACTTTTCAAAATTTGTGGTTTGGAAAGAACAGAGCTTTGCATGGACAATGAGTTATGAGTTGAAGGGACCCGAGTCACCCTGATTTTTTATACCAAATGAAGAACTTTTCAGCTGGATTCCCTCCCCTGAGACTAGGCATGTTCTGGAATTATATAAAACTATAAAAATGTTTCTTGTGATTTGAAGGGTTTCCCCCAACATGGTTCTGGTAGCAGAGATCTACATAGAGGATCAGCTATGGAAGTAAATGGAAGGTGAAAGTAAACATCTCACAATTAACATACCTGCACCAAATTGTTGACTTTCCCACATGACCTTTATATCTCTGCTTTATTTTTAAATTTATTTTGAGGAGGAGGAATATGGTTTTGTTTTTGTTTGAGGGTCATACCTGGAAGTGCTCAGGGGTTACTCCTGGCTCTGCACTCAGGAATTACTTCTAGAGGTGCTTGGGAGACCATATAGGATGCCGGAGATTGAACCTGGGTTGGCTGCATGCAAGGCAACAGCCCTACCTGCTATACTATTTCCTGGCCCCGTCAGCTTTATTCTTGGGCTTTTTCTCTCCATGCCAATCCAATACATCAGAAAATCCTGTTGGCTCCAATTCAGTATGCTTCTAAACCTGAATTTATTACTTTGGTCTCTATGAACTATGGTTTGGTGCAGCCACTAGTTTTGCTTGTATAAGTAGAATGATTCCTTTGTGTCTGTCTGTTTGTTTGTTTGGGGACCATGCCTAGAAAAACTTTCTTTTGAGTTTGTGTTCTGGGGGATCACTCTTGGTGTGACTCAGGGAACTTGTGGGGTTTCAGTGATTGAACCCAGGTCAGCCACATACAAGGCAAGGGCCCTACCCCATGTATTATCTCTCCATCCCCCAGAATGATGTCCTACACGCTCTATTTGTTTTTGCTTCTATTCTGCATTGCCTAATCTCAACTAAATGTACAATAGTTTAAAACTGAAGTCAGATCATGACCTTTTTGCCTTCAGATCCTGTAATGCTAAATCATTTCACTCTGAGCGAAAATCTGAATCCTTGAGTACAGCAGAAACAGCTTCTTCTCAGGCCTTTGCACATGCTGTTCCCTATGAGGAAGTCTCTTCTTTCTCCAAGAAATTCATATGGTTCATTCTGCATCTTTTAATCTCTGCTCAAACTTCCCTTTCAATGATGTTCACTCAAAATGCCCACCCTCTTTGAAGTGTATCCCGTCCTACAGAATCTCCCAATTTTCTTATCCAGTAACATTCCAACTTGTTCCATAGTACTTACACATTCTAAGTGACATTTATGTGTATTATGGTCATTTCTCACTAGGATATAAGGCTCAAGAGGACAACTATTTTATTTATGCTATTCTCTAAGGCACAGCAAGTTCTATAATGGCTCCTGGCAAGTGGCAGCTACCCATTGAAATATATATATATATATATATATATATACTTTTTATAATTTATTTATTTATTGAATCACTGTGGGAAAAGTTACAGAGCTTTCAGGTTTAGGTCTCAGTCTTGTAAATATCAAACACATTTCCCTTTACCAATACTTATTTTTTACCACGAACCCCAATAGAACCCCACCTCCCACCCCTCCCCATTCCTGTGAGGCAGATGAGTTCTAGTTAACACTCTATCTACTTTGACTAGATTCATTATGAAATATATTTTTTAAGATTTGTGAACTGGGCTGGAGCGATAGCACAGCCGGTAGGGCGTTTGCCTTGAATGTGGCCAACCTGGGTTTGATTCCCCCATCCCTCTTGGAGAGCCCAGCAAGCCACTGAGAGTATCCCACCCACATGGCAGAGCCTGGCAAGCTCCCCATGGCGTATTTGATATGACAAAAACAATAACAACAAGTCTCACAATGGAGATGTTACTGGTGCCCGCTCGATCAAATTGATGAACAAAGGGAGAACAATGCTAGAGTGCTACAATGAATTGCCCAATGTGGCATGTCCTTGAAACATAAATGTGGAAATTATGAATTTCCCATGTAGATGGCTTTGTACTAAACAAAAGTAACTTGCATATATGCCAGAAGCAGAGGAGGCCTGAAGAAGAACATCACAAGCCATCTTCCCTAACCCCCACTTATTTTTGTTTAAAATTTTTAAGTTTGGAGTTCCACCCAATAGTATTCAGGCTCTGTGCTCACGGATCACTCCTGCAATGCTCAAGGCTCTGTATGCTGTATGCAGTGCCAGGGCATTGAACCATAGTCAGCCAATGGCCTAGAACCCTGTACTATCTCTACAGCCCCCAATTTTCTTCTCCTGACTTATATCCAAACTACCCGAGATCCTGATCACAGTAACAAGCCTGTCACACAGGTGCTGGGTGGGTATGCCCTATCCCCAGCCTGTTTCACACCCACTGACAGAAGCTCCAGAAATCTCATGGCATGGAAGTGAAGCAACAGTAACTGACAGTACTAAAGATAAACCATGAACTCCAGAATCAGGCTGTCTGAGTTCTATCACAGCTCTTCAATTTTCACTGTGTGATCTTGAGATCTTCTGTGCTTCCATTCCAAGATACTCATGCACAAATTCTTACTTGTCTTAAAATTGGGGGAGGGAAGGGGGAAGTTTAGAGGGGGAAAAGGAGAGGAAGTTTAGAGATAAACAAAGAGAGAGGATTACAAAGAGACTTAGAAAATTAAACACTTATAAATATGCATTTCATGTTGGTCACAGAATGATTTGAAAAAATAGGGCCAGAATGGTAGTACAGCAGGTAGGGCATTTGCCTTGCATGCAACAGACCTGATTTCGATCCCAGGCATCCCATATGGTCCCCTGAGCACTGTCACGGGTAATTCTTGAGTGCAGAGCCTGAGTGCAGAGCCAGGAGTAACCCCTGAACATTGCCAGGTATAACCCAAAAGCCAAAAAAAAAAAAACAAAGAAATAAAGAAAAAAAGAAATTCTTTCTAAAAATCTTGCATGTGTGTATGAGTATTACACTTCTCATTCCTGCTCAGACAGATACACATTTAAGTACATATATTCACAAATATCACAAATAAATATAAAGTAGGGACTAACATGCTAGTATGTTTTGAGAATTAAGTCAAATTCTAGAGAAACTTAAATGCTCAGTAAAAAAATCTGTCATGTTTGAATTATCCAATACAAATTATCCAACACATCATTACAGTAGTTTGTAAGCACACAAAGAAGGTGAACCCTAGAGACCTCTGAGATGTGTGATGTTTGAGGAGTTATTTTCCTCAGTTCTCTGCATTTCTAAATTTTTCTCTACTTATCCTCCACTGAGAAGTCAAACAAAAAAACAAAGAAAACCAGAAACAAACCCTCTGGAGCTATTAACCCCGGACTTGAGCTTCAATAGCACCTCTGACTTAGTTCTGAAACCTTGAGGGGATGATTCTTCTGCTTCATTTTTCCCATCTGCAAGTCAGAAAAAATAGGACTAGCTATAACCAGCATGTGGTGAGGCTCAGAGGGGCTGAGATGCACAGAATCATTTCTGCTGCTTGAAACATCATCTATTTTGACAACCCTGGTAACAGGGAGAAAGTGCTTAGAGTCCTTTCTTAGCTTTTGGTGGACACAGTATTTATCTGGAAGTCTTATATATCCACAGGCAGGGGCTGTAGAGATAGCACGGGGGATAAGACTGCATTGGACGCATTGGATGCATTGGATGCATTGGATGCATTGGATGCATTGGATCCATTGGATCCATTGGATGTATTCGATAAGGGGATTGGATGCAGCTGACATGGATTCAATCCTTCAAACTGCCTCTGGTCCCCTGAGTATTACCAAGAGTCATCCCTGAGCACTTCCTGGCTTGACCTCCAAACAAACAAACCTACAGGCAGGAGAAGGATGGAGGAAAAGGATTCTACCCAATGTATTGCTCACCTGTGAGTCCCAGTAGTAGAGTCAGAAGCAGGTAGGGAGGAGGAGAGCTGGGCTGGGAGACAAGGACCGGCATTCCGGAGGCCTATGGAGCTGGCAGTGTTCAGGGGTAGTGTGGGGGAACCCTGCCCTATTTGGTGCAGACAAGCCACACCTAATATGACACAAGAGAAGAACCTCTGGTGGGTAAAGTGGCTGAGAGGCAGTAGCCTGCTCTAGAATTAAGCAATTATTGTCTCCACAATGTGAAAAAGGAGTCCAGGAGGGTAATAAAGCTGAGAAGTTACACATGAATATTCTCAGTGAGACCTGCACAGGCCTGTTACAAATAATGCTTCCGCTTCATGTGAGACCTCTGCTATGTTCACTTGGCACCCTTACCTGACGTTGAGAGCTTCGTGGTGGTTCAGTATTCATAAGTTCTGGGTTAAGATTGATGTTTGGTTGTATCTTGTGCGTCAAACTCCAAGCTCAGGAACTCAGAAGCGACTTACCTGGGCTCATGCTGCACCAGCTTCAGTCCCAGGAGCTATCAACTGACAAGAGGAAGAGAGTTTGCTGACATCTGGCAACTTTCACATTGAACCAAATCTGCTTCTGAAATGAATCCCATTCCAAATGTTTACTGATATACTGATAAAATTCAGCTCAAATCCATTGTCACTGAGGACCTTTTATATGTTTTCAACAAATAAAAGAAATCAGTTCCTGACTTCTTTCAGTAGATAACTGGGCTGTATATCCCAGCAATTACACTCTCAGGTATTTATCTCAGAGATATAAGTAATGTGCCTATACAAAAACCTGGGAGTGAATTTTATAACAGCTTTACTTGTATGTCAAGTAATGGGAAGCAAACAAAAATTTCAATAAGTGAATGATCAACTGTGGTGCTTCCATAGAATAAAATAGCACTCAGCAAAAAGAAGAATGATTACAAGTGCTATAACTTGTAAGGCTCTAGATAGATTGAATAAGTCCCTCTCAGAATGTATGATTCCCTCTGACTTGTATGATCCCCCTTTAAAATGTCTTCAACATAACTGAGAAAGGGAAGAGATTGCAATATTCCAACTTTCTTTGGTTATCACTGTTGAAATCACTAAAAACTAGCACAAGAGAGAACTTTGTGGTCATCACCTTCCTCTGCATCCCAACTATGGAGTTGATTTGACCAAAATTTACATAAAAATTAGCCTAAATCATGGCTAAGAGTAGTACAAGACTCAATTCTAAAAACCCATCTCATAATCATTATAATGTGGACACTATTAAGTTATTCATAGTCACAGAGAATGACAGGGTGTGGTGGACAGAGATTATGCATGAGTGCAGGTGTGACAGAACAGTGTATCCTCATCACCCAAAGTATGGAATCGATAAATAATGCCTAAGAATGATAAATTTTAAAAGTGTGGTAATATGCTCACATCATTTTTGAGATATGGCAATAAAATCTAGAAAAAATTCTGTTAGAAGAGTTGAAAATTGTTGTGTCTGGCAGGTGGAAGTGTTTGTTAGAGGGTAGAAGATCCCTCTTCTCCTAAGTTCAGCTTCAGAAACTATTGACCCTTCAACAATGTGTATAGGTAATTTGATCTGTCACTGTCACTGTCCACCTGTTGTTCATTGATTTGCTAGAGCAGGCCCAGTAATGTCTCCATTGTGACACTTGTTACTGTGTCTGACATATTGAATACGTCACGGGTAGCTTGCCAGGCTTTGTTGTGCGGACAAGATACTCTTGGTAGCTTGAAAGGCTCTCTGAGAGGGGCTGAGGAATCGAACCTGGGCCAACCAGGTCAGCCACATGCAAGGCAAACACCCTACCCACTATGCTATCTCTCCAGCCTATAAATTTGATCAAGATGTAAAAATTTTTTAGATAATTAAATTAATACTAGGAGTTCTCAAAGAATGTACATAATATTAACACTAGCAACAGATTTCTGAAAGTTTGCTGGATATGAAACTGATATTTAAAACTCAAATGTGGGGGCTGGGGAGGTTGTACAGTAGGATGGTGATTGCCTTGCATGTGGTTGATCTGGGTTTGATCCCCAGTATCCCATATGGTTCCCCAAGCCCTGCCAGAAATGATCCCTGAACCAGGAGTTAGCTCTGAGCACTGCCAGGTATGTTCCAAAAACAAAAAAAATCAAATTTAATCCACATAGACACTGTAGGAGAAACGGACACACTCCAGACTAACCCAAGCTCTCTTTCTACTGGGAAGGCATCCTACTATAACATGGATGAAACTGAAAACATTATGCAAAGTGAATTAAGATAAGAAAGCAAAAATTACCATATGATTCTACTTATACTATCTGAGTATCCAGACTCATGGAAAGGTGAAGCAGAGAGAGGATTTCTAGTATCTAAATGAAGGGGAAAATTATCTAATGACTATCAAGTTTATAAGTTTTTAACTATCAACTAAAGTTTGTAATTTTATAAACTTATAAAAATTTAAGTATAGAGTTGTGTAATGATTATAATGTTTAAGTTTGAAAAATTAGATAAGTACCTAGGTTTATTTCATAATTGTTTGAATATAATAAACAGTCATAAACTGTGGTTAAGATGTCAAAAAGAGGAAGAAGAAAGAGGAGGAAGGGTTGGAAGAGGAAGAAGAAATACTTGAAAATGTCACAACAGAATATTCAACTATGAGAAAAGATGAAATTTTGCAACTTGGATCACGCTGGGGGATGTCATGTGAAGTGAGTCAAATAGTAAGAAATACCAAATGGTCTTACTCATATACAAAGTATAAAAAAGCAAAGGGATTAGACAATCCCCAATGGAAACTGATTCTGAGATAAGATCAGTTGAATTGAAAACTGAGGTGGCAGGAAAGAAGATGGCAGGATAATGGTGCAGGGAACTTGAAACCCTGGTGGAGGTATGAGTGTAATAGCTGGGCAACTTTAAAATCATGATTTCAATATTATTGTAAACAATGATAACTCAATTTCAAAAAGGAAGAAAAGGTCCTGAAGTTCAAATGTATTGAGTTCACAGAAGACGCTTTCTGGCTAAGTCACTGATGAAATTTGTGCAAGTGATAATTTAGAATAAGAATCTTTTTAACCAAAGTCTCACTTTGGGATTAAGTTTGGTGGTACTGAAAGAGAAAGCCTCAGTTTCCCCTTGCCAGTGAGACAGAAAGCCAGCTTCCATTTTGTGCCTATGGGTCATGAGTTTACAACCTACTAAGAAAAACATGCCAGACCCCAGGGGCATGAAAAGCCCCTACATCTGACCACAGATGACAAGGATGATTTAAGTAAATGCAGCAAGATGCATTAGCCACTCTGTTTCACTTCTATACCTCCACATGCTTGCTTAAGGCCATGAGCACCTGCCAATGCACATGGCAGGAAGCACCCATGCACCTAGCGAGGGGGCATCCAGACTCACAGGTAGGAGGACATAAGGCTTACCCTCTCCCTGAAGGGAATCAGGGATCCAAGTCCAAGGAGCAGTCCCAGCTTCTGAACCCTCAGCACTGAATACCTTGGATGAGTGTTTTGTTGTGTAAATAAAACTTTGAAATATCTGTCCTGTCTCTGTGTGTCTCAGTCAGCAGCTGAGCCACTTAACACCCATTTGGGAAGCTTCTTTTCTTTTCTCTTTTAGCTTCCAATAAACTTTTCTACTTTCCAACTCTGAGTCTGAGCACCTTTATTATTCACAATTTTTTTTCTTTCTGGGTCACACCCGGGGATGCACAGGGATTACTCCTGGCTCTGCACTCAGGAATTACTCTTGGCAGTGCTCAGGGGACCATATGGGATGCTGGGAATCAAACCAGGATTTGATTCAAATTGCAAGGCAAATGTCCTACCCACTGTGCTATTGCTCCAGCCCCATATTATTCAATATTTTCATTCCTAAAATTATTGAAGAACCTGGGAATCGCAGAGACCTGCCACCGCTGCTTCTGCCTCTCCTGCATCAGTACCTAGAGCACTTTTTAATCTCAGCTCTTGGATTTATCACTGTCTATCTAAAAGACCTAATAATGACCAAACTAGCCTGCTTAGTTTGAAATACTGGTATAGAAACCTCTTTTATTTGGATGACTTTATACTTTATTATTTACAGACTAAAGAGCAATTAGCATCTACTCTCAGAGTTATTTCATAACAGAATAACCTTAATATGTACAATAAAAGAACAATCCTCAATGAAAGATTAGTATTTCTGGCCCCATTTTACTAAGATATTATTAACATATAGTATACATTTTACACATAATGATTTGATTTATGTATGTTTTATAAAATGACTATCACAATAATATATAATAATATAATAATAATATGATGTTAACATCCACTTCCCTCTGGGAGAGCCTGGCAAGCTACCGAGAGTATCCTGCCCACACAGCAGAGCCTGGCAAGCTCCCCGTGGCATATTTGATATGCCAAAAACAGTAACAACAAGTCTCACAAGGGAGATGTTACTGGTGCCCGCTTGAGCATATCTATGAACAACAGGAGGACAGTGCTACAGGGCTAACATTCATTACCTGTCATTGTCACACTTTTTTCTTATGGTGAAAATTTTCAATTTACTAAATAAGCAGCTTTCAATATACCTATAAGAATCATGCTGTTCTTTACATTTCTGGACTTATTTGTGAATTACCAGAATTTTGTGTCTCTTTACTAGCTTCACCAATTTCCCCAGCTGCTTATACTTCCTTCCCTTCTATGACAAGCAATCTCTTCTCTGTATCTTTGAATTTGGTGTCTTTACATTTTTAATTATTTTTAAAATTTTAAATGTTTTAAAATTTATGTTTACTTATGTCATATTATTTCTATCTTTGTCTGACTGTCTTATTTAGCAAAATACTATATACCCAGCCATTGCTTGATCACTTGATCATTTGACATTGCTGTTATTCATTGATTTGCTCGAGCGGGAGCCAGTAATGTCTCCATTCATCCCTGTCACATGCTAGTGTACCCCAATGACGTCTGCTTGCTCCATGAGCACGAAGAGCCTCAAACCGATCGTTCCAGGGTCTTGACAAGGAAGTCTGACCATCTTGTAGGTGGG